AACTGCACCAACAACGCTACGTTGTTTGTGCGCGTTATCTACAAAGGTCAATGAAATGCATACGCGGCGGCGGCAGTAAATATTGATTACTAAACCAATTTGCTTGAAATTCATAATAATTTCACTTGATTGTATTATTGCAAAACAAGTTTAGATCACTTTAACGATTGAGAGGCAATGTACTATGTATTTATGTATTTTTTTTTTTTTTTTTCGCATCGCTGAGTTCTTTAGTTATTAAATTTAGTGCTATAAATTTACTACTTGTGGCGAGACGTGGCCATTTATGCATCATTTAAAACCATTGCGCTCAGAGGTGAAGCTACATATATTCAAGTAAAAATAATCGAAATACATAAATACTATAATTAAGGTATCATTTCAGTGCTAATTTTACTTGCGGTGATTCTAAACTAAGCTCAACCATAACATAAAAATTAATATTTCGCGCTGAGACATTTTACTAAATGTTTGGCTGACATAATAAAGAAATGACACCTCCAATCGGCAGATGGGTTTTGTGAGCAAAATTTTCATTCGAACTTCTCTCATTGCCTGACGAAGGGCAACCGCTTTGGACAGCAAAAAAACTGTGGTAGTACGTATTTCTAAACACTTCAGACGACCACCGAAGGTCTGCAATTTATCGATTATTCTTCCTATTGATTGGCGCTGTAATCGCCTAAGCGATTTTGGCCGAGTACAAGTCCTTCTCTACCTGGTCTTTCCATCGCAAAGAAGGTCTTTCCTCTGCTACCAGCATAGTGATCGGCATTGTATACCTTGAGGGTTGCAGCGTTTATGCGGAGCCGCTACACCATGTCCATGGCGTTGTAAAGTTCATACGGTCCAACGTCTGCGGTCTGCGGACCTCGCCATCGCCAACGAGTGAAGGCCATCCTTCTCTCGAACACCCTAAGAGCCGCCTTATGAGATGTTTTCATGATGAGTGACTTATAGAGTGTGATCATTATACAACAAGACTGGTTCTTACTCCCCAATTGTCTACTCAGTCCAAAGTAGTACTTGTTGGAAAGAGTGATTCACTGTTGGATTTTAATGCAGACACTATTATTGTTGTTAATGTGGGTTCCTAAATGGACAAAGTTGTCTACTTTTTCGAACTTATAACTGCCAACAGTGACGTGAGTGCCTTGAAGCGTATGTTCTAAGTGTTTGTCCTCATTCATCACCCGACCTAAGCTCTTGATTCTTTATTCAAATTCGAGAATGTAGAAATCAGAGGAAAAGGACGTGCCCTGTCTGAAACCTCGTTTGTTATCAAACGGCTTAGAGAACTCAACGTCATTTTACACAACGGTGTTAGTACCTGCGAATGTATCAAATTCAGACATCGCGTCATAAAAGCAACGCCCTTCGGGGAGGCGGCTTTGTAATCGACAAAGTGACGGTGTGTGTCGATCCTATTCTAGCGGGGTTTTTCCAATATTTGGCGTATGGTGAGTACCTGGTCTATGGTGGATTTGCCAAGTCTAAAACCACACTGATAAGGTCAAATCAGTTCGTTCTCGGTGGGCTTCAGCCTTTCATACAAGAGGGCTCGGTACGACCATGTAACCGGTAGTTGCCGCGTATGGCAGGGTCGACTTTCTTGTGGTTTGGGCACAGCACATTTTAATTTCTGTTGTAAGGCATGCGCTCATCTGGCCATGTTCTGCATAAGTGTTGATGCATGCACTTTATCAGCCGTACTTGAATAGCTCGGCTGGCAGGCCGTCAGATCCAGCAGCTCCATGGTGACATTGGTCACTAGGTCGCCATGGATGTCCTTACACGCGTTCGCGTTGGTATTCGAACCTTCCGTAAGTCACTTAACTCTTTGATAAAATTTGTGCGTATTTTGGTTCTTACCCAGCATTTCGAGCTCCTTTTTTTTGCGGCAAATAAGCGAGATGTGGAAGAATCTCGCTTTGATGCGGACTGTGGCAGCTGTAGTAGACGTCACAAGGCCTTGCCTTGCCCCGTCTTCGATGGCGGTGATGTCAGCCTTTGTCTTCCCGAGGACATCAACCAGCTGGGCAGAGGCACCTTTCCCATTAAGGGTCCAGGCATTCCAGGTGCATACTGGCCACTCCCTTGTGAATGGCAGTCAGAAGCTTTCCCCACTTATTTGGACTTCTGCGCACGGAACCATCCTATCCCATTCTATCTTAGGATTCCCAAACGGTCATGAAGAGTATCGTACTGTAAACTGAAAAGGAGCACGTGTCTAATACTCTACACTCTACAGCGTTGTAAATAATCCGACAAGTATCTCGTAGTTTAGTGTAGTATAAAACTATAATATTTTAAAATCGAATTTTTTCTTTAAATTTTCTTAATATTTAAGACTTTGTAGGTAATTTTTTCACAGCTACGAGTGAATTTTTTTTAATGACTAATGGTCAGTCAATAATCGTTGTTACCAAATCAACGCAGACGCCTCACTGACAAGCAAGTGCTTTATTTCAGTTGAAAACCCTTTTAGTAAAATCAATATTTGTTTAAAGCACCATTTCGTTGTTGCTTATATGTACATTAAGTGGAAAATTTATTTCTAAAAAACTAACATGCGTATGCGCACCTTTGGTTTCCTCATATAAATAGCATTTTTCTACGACTCATACACATTTCCTGGTAAATCATTACAAAATTAGAGTTTATGATGTTTGATGATTCAGGTTTTGCGGGAAGACGATTTGTATTTTATTGATGTTATTAGTTCTAAAATATACAATGTTCTTTTTCGCAGTCTAAACATTTCAGTTTCATGTGCGAAGCTGCACATGATGAATGTACAGTGGCTCTAGCAAGTGTTCACAAGTTGATTTTTTTTTAATATTCACAAATTTTTTCAAGTAAAATTATAATTTTTTTTTTTATAATATTATGGTTCATGTTTTAACCAAGGCCAAAGTTTCAAATTTTATATAAAATTTATAAAAAATAAATTTTCATTTCGAACTTTTTAATCTCTTAAAAAAATCAACGTAGGTTTTATAAATTGCACTTCTTGTATGACAAAAAACGCAAAAGACCGGCGGAAAACAATTTAAAAAATGAACGCGAATTTTCAACTGCTTGAAATTTGTTTGGGGAGCGCATAAAAAAATCTTGAAGATGTAATATTTATTAATATTGTAGAAAGTGCTGAAGAAATGAAGCATTATATTATATAGTATTCCTTTTTTAATTTATTAAAGCTGTATGTAGATAGCCACATAAATCATCGTATTTTTCGTATCGTATTTACAAACCGTTTCTCTTTATATGTAAATATAGATAAAACTGCATACCCAAAAGTTTCAAAAAAATTTATATAAGGATAGTTCAAAATTTTGATGTAAATTTGTTTAAATTTTCTAAAGTTTGTATAAATTTTGTAAGTTTTATTTAGAGATATGGTTTTTGTCAAAGCATAAACAATAGTTTTATAGAAAAATAGAATAAAATTTCACTTGCAAAATATCTGAATAAATATTAAAAAAAAACAAATCAGCATGGGAACACTTGTTTAAATCACTGTACGTACTTACATATCTATGTACATATATATTCTTATGTACTATACTACTTGTACATAAGCATATTAAAGAACAAATCCGCCAAAATTAAGCTACCAACAAAGTAGCGCATGTGCTTTCTTTTGATATAGTTTCAAATATTGCAGAATAAACATTTATGAACAAAAAATAAAAATATTAGTTGAGTTTGATATTCAGCGCATTTACTCATATTTACTTTATGGACAGCAAACATAAAACAGAATATGAAAAGCAAAGTTGAAGACACGCAGAAATGGTTCATTGTGCGCGCAGATTTTTTAATTTATTTGCTGTTGTTAAGAACACATGTTGAGCGAAAATAAGAAAGCCGAAAAAAGGATTCTTAGAATTCATTAAAAAATCTGGTGCTTAATTAAATGGTTTCAAGCATAACATTTAATTCAAGGTTAGACAAAAACACATAAAAGGCATAACTGGCGTTACTTTCAATTTATGTATGATTTTAATGATACAAGGCATGTGTGTCCGATCATACAATACAAGATATTCACGTATGTAAATATATACATACATAATAAATAAATATTTGTACATATGTACCAAATTTAACGCTTACCACCTCTTTACTACTTTTCGACGGTTTTACTAATTTTTTACGGCCCTTGGAGAGGCTAACTAAGCAGTCGGTTAACTTATTATGTACATAGTAGCTACTTATCGGAAAATCGCCTGCTTTGAAACTAAAACATGACAAAAATTTGTCATATCTTTGAAGGTCTTTGAAGGACTTTGGCAGGACTTGGAATTGGGCCGATACATTCGGTTGTCGATAAATTTCGATAATGTCATATCGACAATTCAATGAACTTCAAAAACACTAAAATTCGATAACACAACAAAATTCGTTAACTCGACTAATTACAATAAATTTTGGATAACTGTGAGTTTCGAGCGCTCAGTAAATTTTGATTACTCAAAAATGTGTATATGTATCTCGATATAAATCTATAAACTATGAATACCTCTATAAATTTCGATAACTCGGTCAATTTCAATAGCTCCATATTTTTCGAAAGCTATTGACAGATTTCGATAACTCTGGTAACACGATAAAGTTCTATAAGCAGTATTTTTCTTTCACAGAAAAATCTCATCACAACTAGTTGTTAAGTTCGAAGAGCGAAAAACTCTTAAATGTTTGGCAAGGCACCGTAGGGTAAACGACGGCTAAAAATGTTTGAACATGCCTAATTTTTACCAAAAATATCCTTTTTAAAGACGAAGAAATTTTTTATATTACTTGATCTTTAGCTTTATTTGAGTGAGGTGTGTTCATTTAACACTGACCATAGGGCTTAAATTTACATTTTTTGTTAGTTTACACGTTTAGACGAACACGCTTCATGTTTTTGTTTTTTTATTGATACTTTCACTATCTCTTTGATTTTGCTTGCGTAACATAATTCAGCAAATCATTTCCTTTTTGCTTTTCAGGGGGTACATGAAGACATCTACACATTGCAGCCGCATGTAAAATTGTTTAAAGATTTAAATATCCTTGCCAGAGACGAGGCTTTCCGAAATGCAACAATGGTTTATCCCGTTACATCAATGGATGACTTATATCGTTTACATGCATACTTCTCAAAGGTAATCGTCATCTACACAATTTTGCTCATGTATATGTACTTGTATGTGGGGGTATGTATGCATTTGGTTTAAATATTTCTCTTTTGTAGTATCATTTAGAAACGATACAACAACGCAGCTTTGACTTGGAGCGTAAATCATATCGGATAGCTAACGGTTCAATATCGAATAATATACTCGAAATCCGTTGGCCACTTGGTGTACCCAGTGGTTCAGCGCCTGAAACGCGCCATGACATCATAACGTGGCACCTCATCAACAGCACACACATTTTTCTGCCCAATGCCGAAAATATTATCGAGCCACTCAGTCGCCACGACAAATTGGATTTTGACAAAGTGCTTGAAATTGTTGTTGCCTATGCCAAGCGGAAGCATTCGCATTTGCAGTTTATCAATTTGCATACAGTGTATAGGAAATTTGATGCGACGCGTGGCATGGATTATCAATTCCATTTAAATTTGCGTGACACACGTCGCTCCGATGAATTGGTGACAAAAAGTTTTCAAGTTGTTAAACCGCTGGGGCGTGTTGAGGTTATACCATCGCCATATGTCACCGAAAGCACACGGATCGCCATAATGGTGCCAACGTTTGAACATCAAGCAGAGGATGCTGTCAATTTTATTGCCGAATATGAGCGTATTTGCATGCAAAATCAGGATAATACATTTTTGCTGTTGGTATGTTTGCCTGTAACTGTTTCGCAAACAATTTGTTTTTTTTTTTTTTTTAATGTGTGTTGTCTTTTTTCAGATTTTCCTATATCGATACGATTCCATGAGCAAAGGTGAAAGCGATCCATTTAAAAATCTGAAAACACTCGCTTTAGATTTATCGACAAAGTACAAAAATGATGGCTCACGCATAGCCTGGGTGTCCATACGTCTGCCGTCAGCGGTTAGTGACACACCACCACCTGATGACATTATGCACAACTCCTTATATGGACGCAATGAAATTTTAAGTGTTGCTGTGGCAGACTTGGCGCTGCCAAAAATCGGATTGGATAGTCTTGTGTTGATGGCATCTACAGATATTAACTTCAAAACGGATTTTTTGAATAGAGTAAATTAATTTGTTTGGCATTGGCTTCAATACTCTATTTTTACAATTTTCTTTCCATCATTTAAGGTTCGCATGAATACCATTCAGGGTTTCCAAATATTTTCACCAATAGGTTTCATGATGTATCCATGTAGGTTGGCTCACTTTTGCAAAGAATGTGAATCATGTGATGTGAGTCAAAGCACGGGCTATTTTGACAAATGGAATTACGATCTAACATCGTTCTACAGTCGGGATTATGTGCAAGGTATGTACATTTTGCGTAAGTTTAAGAAACACTTTTAGGTGTTGCGTGTGTGAATGGATAAAATTCAGGAAGCGTAACGGTTATGAACTTTGTATGTAATAAAAATCATAATTTATTTTATATGCCTTTTTCGCTTTTATTGAGAGCTGTATACTAAGCTTAAAATTGGATTTATATTTTTTCGAACAAATTTAATCGTTGTCTTAAGATTTTTATTTTTTCGATCATCTGATAGTCGTTATTTTTATATATAATTTTTATCGAAAAAATAAAAATCCTAAAATAACAAAAATAACTTATTGATTGAAAAAGTAAATGTCAAAATTTAACGATACACAGCCACACAAAAAAGTGTCGGGTTCGATGACCATATTATCCCTTCCTTATGTATTTTGATGCGCTGAACACGAATCTGAAGTTATTTTTGCTCCATCACGTCAGGATTTATTCCTTTCAACGTGCCTGTCAACTCTTTTTTTGTAGCTGTGTTATTATTGATTTATAATAAATTAAACAATAACGATTTTTGAATAATCTAAAAATAAAAATCTTTGCATTTAATGATTATTTACGGTCGCTAATAAGACCAGAACCAGATTAAGAATCCCCATCACATTAAAAAAAAAATATTTAGTCTATATTGTTTAATAACCTACATATATTCCAGCATTGTTAGCATATATGTTTCGTTTTTTTCATCTAAATATAACATAAAGTTTTATCTTAATTAGAACGCATTGATTTAATTTTTTTAACAAATTAGGTATCGACTAGTTTTTTCGCTTGAAGTTGATCTGATGTGATGTGATATTATATAGTGTGATACATACCGTCACTACACACGAATAAAGGCGCGATAGTGTTTTGACGGCGAAAAAAGGCGCGTAAAAAAATTTTACGAAAAAAGATGCTTATAAAAAACTTCGGCGAAGTATGTTAAGAATCTTTGAAGCTGAAGTTTTTTAATGCGTCTTTTCTCGCCGTTAAATTTTGAGCTCGCGCCTTTATTCGTGTCTAGTGACGATACGTTATTGTGTAATGTGATGTAATGATTTGTACTGTGTTGTTATGTGACGCGAGGGGATGTAAATATTTTTAGTTTTTAAGTTTGATATATCTGATGTGACGTCATATCGTGTAACTTGATCAGGTATCAACTGTTATGAAATGATATCACTTGGTGGCATACTATCTAACACTCTAGTCGTATTTTCATCTGTGATGTGATGTTGTGTAATGTGATCTGAAGTAATGGTATGAAATGTGGTGTGAGGCGATGTGATGTGGCGCTAGGTAATCTAATTTGATGTCGGCGATGTGGTGTATCTTCTGATCTAATGTTATTACACGAGAGTGTCATTTGTGTTGTGGGTTATGTAATGTAATAAGAAGTGATATGATGTTATGTAATGCGGTGTGATGTGTCGCGACGTGACTTAGGCGATGTGATGTAAATATTATTATTAAGTATCATTTGCCATGAAACTATATCATCCGATGTGATACGATCACGCGAGTTGTGATTTCATCTTTGATGCGTGGAGTGATGTTATGATATGTGACGTGATGTGATGTGATACGATGCCATGCGATGCGAGGTGATGAACTATTACTCGAATAATGTGAAGTATTTTTATTTCTTTGATTTGCTTCATTTGACGTGGCGTGATTATATGTACATATATTATTTGATGCACTACTAGGTTTGTTAATGCAAAAATTAGCCAGTAACTTGCCAGCAACTCTTCAGTAACTTAATTTCTGAGAATGTGCGGTCATAGAGAAAAATATCCAAAAACGTAGCTGAACACAAAACTAGTAACAATTTGCATGTTTCATGAACAGCTGATAAGTTTGCGGTTTATTCCTAGCAATTTCTTAATAAAACAATATATTTTTTATTTAATTTCAACTTTAAAAACCCCAGAAATAATTTCCTTATAAGTTTCAATTGCACCCTGCAACTTGGGATCAGCTGTTTTCTCGCTTACAAGTTTTTACTGGCAAAAATTGGTCCAGTAAAAATTTGCAACTTCTCCTCCTAGCGAACTGTCATTTTGCTCTCTCAATGTCTGCTACTGTGCAAGTTTTTTGGATACATTTTGGTGTTCACTAGATAGTTTTTGATAACTTTTGGCTACATGAACAGGCAAACCATCACACGAGTTTTTTGCTTATTTCTAGTGTATGTGTTTGAATGTTATGTATTAGCTCTGATCCAATACTTTTCGTGAAAAATCCTGTAAAACTGTCAAACAGCAAAATTACTCTCTGAAGTGAGAGTAAAAAGTGAGTAACAACACAAAAAGTACGGGAACAAAAAAAACATTTTTCCTGTAAAAACGTCAACCAGTGATCGCTTGACACTTTTCATGATTTTACCAGAAGAAAAAGTTCGAGTAAAATCTTGCAACTTCATTCTCTTCACAACTCTCCAAATGTCGCTCTCATTTACAGGATTTTGGAGTATGGGAACATTTGTTCTGCAACTTCCTGCATGTTCGTGTAAAATCCTGTAAGTTCTTGGAGTACTGGATCAGAGCTATTGTGTTTTAATATGACGCGAGGTGATGGAATTTGTCAAGCGTGATGTGAAGATATTTGACTTAAAATTGGCTTGATTGTCTATGATTGACGTGACGTTTTATCATGTGATATGCGCAGTGTGAAGTAAAAATTTGTAAATTTGGATATCAACTAATGTTATTCTATCACAAGAGTATTACTTCTAATTGCGGTGTGCTGTTATGTGATCAAGTGAGATTTCATGTGAGATGTTGAAATTTAACATGGGCGATGTTATTACATATGTATTTGACATGATTACCGATCATCTGTAATGAAACCATATCACCTGATGAATATCATATTAATTTTTGTTGCATCTTCTGGGATATGACGTTAGTTAATTTTTATTTAAATATATTTTTGTACAAGTATGGCATGATCTGATTTCGTCTGCTTTGGTAGTGTATCGTCTGAATTAACGTTATGTAATATAATTTACTTTAATCAAATCTAAGAAATAAAAGCAATTGTTGCTGTTGCAACGCTGGAGTGACAGTCCTTGGCCAGATATATGTACATACATAGTAAGTCTGGGTCGTTCCGGTTATGTAGACCCAACTGTCGTGGCAACCAAATCAAAGCAATTCATTTAAAGCGCTATTTCACGTTAGCCCAACTGCCATCATTAAAATGTTGTTACATTGACATGACGTGATTTTTCTCTGAGTGATGCGATTGCGTTCAAGTGTATGATCTATACATATGTACTTATTTGTAATGTTTACTTTTTTAATATTTATATAATTATTCACATACACACTTACTTATGTTCCCCATTTCAGCACGTAAGATGATTGAATCAACTTTGCCAATAACACGCTCCGACAATGACATTGAGCAGCTTCTTGCCCGCACTGATCAAACAATAACCACCATCTTGGATATGTTTGTAGCTTCAAAACTGCCCGTGCACATCCTGCGCGGCACTGAACCGAATTTGCGTTACGGTATTGCGATACGGAGTCATACCAATAGCGGTGGTGATATTCTAAAATGTCCTGCATTGCGAGAGTACAACAAATTATACCACATATCCAATGAAATACCCCAGCGATATGACGCTGCGCAGCCTGAGAGTGATACGGCGACCGACGCTGCTGCTGACTTGCAAAGGCGAAAATGCATACACTTAGCATCGAGAAAACAAATAGGTGATGCCATTATACGTTTCGAAGATCGAAGTATACTGCACAAATAATTTACACAAAGCGCGAACCTTTGCACAAAAGAATTGTTTGACAAAAAAAAACTAAAAAATCCATACTTGACTATTATTAGATGCGTGAAGTAAACTCATCTCTCTAGTGCATTTGACGTCGCACTTGACTACAACGCAGTATAACTGCTGAACTGGTTAGCCGAGTGCCGGATGATGCACGTTAACTTTTTAATGCTCAAATTTGCATGATATTGTAAATATTAGTTTAAATCCTGCAAACCTGTCATTTAAGGAGATTTTATGCTGTTTTGCAAAAAAAAAACAAAAAAGATACTACTTTTGTATATTAGTCTATTTTGCCAAAATACTTGCATACAAACGCACAAACGACGCGTGCACATTTGTATTAACTATAACTAAGTAGTTTTTGTTTTAAGTTAAATTTATTTATTTTTATAGTTTTAAGACGACCGGCTGAGCCGCAGCTGATTCCTATCGATTGAATGTAACGAAATGACTTCTTATGTGCATGTACAATAGTCCTAGAATACCTAGTATATAATTTGTAAGTAATACTTAAGGCTGTTTTAAAGTGTTTTTGTCTATGTATGTACATCAACAAAGTACATAGAAATGCCCAAACTTGTCATTTCCAAATGAAAATATTTAAATACGTATATATGTATATAAGTAGCGATTTTAAATTAATTTGGTGTTTAGTTACTATATGAAACCTGGGCCCTTACTCTGTAGTTCGAATCAATAATAAATTTGTGCGAATTCGAACGATTGGTACTATAAAAGTGTTAAGTGTTCGTATAGTACTTCTTTTCGATTCGAACTACAGAATGAGGGCCCTGTATTTGTTATCATCAGTGTTTTAAGTATACCTTATGTATCTGTGTATGTATGTAGTATGTTCATCTCGCCATGACTGCCATGTATTTAGTTTCACGAGCCACAAAATGTTAAATTTATTTTTATTTTTTAACTTTTTGTATATTTAAAAGTAAATACGTAAAAGGAGTTCATGCCTTATTTAAAAGAAAGGGAGCGAGCTTTTTATACGTATGTATGCATGTATTTGTAGTCTGTTGCTTGGGCGCCGAAAATCTCTCCAAACTATTTAAGTGGAGCTTAGTTAGCTTCTTTCTACCTAAATATTTCATATTTTCCATTTAAAACTACAATAAAAAAACAAAAAGAATTTGTAAATAGACGTATAGTAATTAGTTTTAATATCTAATATACATACATATGTACATACATATAAATATTTCTACCTATGCATGATTAAAAGGTGCCAAAGCTTTTAAATTTCTAATAAATTGATGAGCCTAGTGTTAGTTCTTACTTTAGGAGAAAATTAGCAACGAAAGATTTCAAGTATTATGTTATTAATATAGGGTAGCTGTATGTAAATTTATGTTCCAGCTAAAAACGAAATTGACTAGAATCCAATATACATATGTATAAGAGTATTTGCAACTACTATGTATGTATGTGCAAATGTAGAAACAAAGAGAAATTTTAAAATTAGCAGTAAGTGATAAGTAAGTAAGTAACGGCCGCTGTGGTGTATTGGTAAGCAGTGCGCGCTTTCACTCCGTAGGGCCTGGCTTCAAGCCATGGTCAAGGCAATATCGCCAAAAATATATAGAAAAAAGGTTTTTTATTAACAGCAGTCGCCCCTCGGCAGGCAATGACAAACCTCCGAGTGTATTTCTGCCATGAAAAACAGTTTCTCAGAAAAATACAATCGCCGCTCGGAGTCGGCGTAAATCTTAGGTCCCTCCCCTTTGTGTGGCAACATGGCGCACGCCACAAATCGGAGGAGAAGCTCGGCCAAACACTAACATATATGTATATGTACAACACTTATATGTGTATGCATGATCAGTTATGTAAATTTAGAATAATTGAAGTGTCTAAAAATAAAAGCAAATTTTTAATGTTTAAAAAAATATATAAAATTTATAATACGAATTTTATTTTATTACAAAGTACAAGGGAAATGATTTAAGTATACTGCCAGCAGCCACCACGTGCACCACGCTTCACTTAAATAGACCGAACAGAGTTTATTGGAAAGGAAGAAAATATCAATATGCTTTGTTTTCAAGCGGATTTTTATAAATCAATACAAGAAATTGCTTAGAAATTATATCCACTTGTTAAGTTATGTAGCATCCTTGTGCGTATGGAAAAGTTATTAATGGGTCAATTATGGATAGCACCACAACCTCAGTTTCATTTCAGTGAGTCATTTCATGTCACCGCGGCCACCTCTGTGCGCGAATTCTCAGGACTTGGATGAAAGTTGAAAAGATTGAAGGTCTAGGTGACATGAATATACGTGCAGCATATTTTGCAGATATGACGTAGAGTTACCTATTTACACGGGGAATTAAATTTAAAAAAAACGTCATACATACCTTTCTTAAAAGTGCTGTATCTTGGAAACCTTTTAACGAAAATTAATGAAAAAAATGTATTTCTTCCGTCTTATTATGGGCTTTAATTGTACCTTTTTTACATTAATGTACAACGTATAAAAAAAAAAACAAACAACAAAAAATAAGTAAACAGTTTTATTTTTATTTTTTGATTATAGCATTTTAAAAAAATTTTATTTTTACATATAAACATTGGCTATAATGTCAACATTAAGTACCCAAATGGGCGTAATGGGCTACTTATGCATATGAACTCTAGATCGTCTAACACTTGAGCAATATGATAAATAGACATTGAAATTTTATGAAATTGTATATTTTTGAAAGAGGAAAGGTGTGTAAAAAAACCACAAAAACAATATGAAAAAAATAAAAAATTAACGGTAACTTTTAGCCACTTGAAACTTGCATATTATGTTATCAGACTAAAATTGAAGAGGCTAAAAAACTGCGTACTAAAAAAAACTCCAAAAACACTCCGAGAAAAAAGTATGAAATTTAGGTGAAAATTTGTTGCACTTTTTTGTAGTTTTCTACAAATTGTTAAACTTGGGTTTATATGGGGTTTGTCTGAGAATCTACTATATTTGAATGGAAAATTCTTAAAAATATATAAATAAACATAAGTGGCACACAATATCACCTTGAAATGGCGTGCTATAGATATGACCGATACTGTATATTTATTTATAAAAGCTTACACAAGAATAACAGTCATAATAACCATATTAAGCAGCATATATATATGCATTTGTGTGTGTGTGTAACTTCGTACAATTTACTAAATGCTTTTTAATTTTTAAAATTTCAAGCAACAGTTTAACTATTGTTCATAATTTTCAATTTTAAAAATTTTACCCGCGATTAATCAGCGCCTTTTGTAGTAAATGTTTCACTTTATCAAGATTTATTTAGTAAAAAACTGAGGTCAGCTTTTGGCGCGAAATCGATAGGCAGTTTATTTCTAGAAAAAAAGAAAAGAAATCGTTAAGAGCAAAACTAAAGTTGTAAAAAATATAAGAAAGTATACAAATCGTCGCCCGTATGCCAGAAGCACGAATGTGTAAAAATTAAAATTTTGAGAAATCAACTTTGAAAGTTTTTTTACGAGACTTAAGTACATTTATGCAAGTGAAATTGTAAAATATGTGGTTTCCGTGCACGCCTGGTATTCTTGGTTTTGGTATAACATAGAGCATCCAAAGGTCAACTCAAAACTGATAAATTCGCACATTCATGCTTCTGGAATAGGGGCGAAATATTGCGTACTCCTTTCTTATAATACTTCCACTTTTTATCAAATAAATAACTTTACTTTACTTACGGCAAAAACAACTTCGCATTACGATCTCCTACTAGAGTGGCCTTATCGCCCTCCACCAACAATGCTGTGCCTTCGCGCAAACCCAAAACCGGTAATTGGTGGTAATCTATAAATTCATTTATACGTTCATCACGCGTCTCGCCTTTGTGAAGTGTCGATGCATCTGGATCCAAGTAATGAGGATTAATGTTGAACGGCACCAGACGTAAGGCATCATATGTTGGCGGAAAAGCCACTGGCATATCATTTGTTGTATGTATAGAACGCGTTGCCACATTTGTGCCAGCACTCGAACCTACATAGGGCACACCTTTTTGCAGCACACGTTCGCGAATTATAGGGATTAAATTTTGATCGTAGAGCGCTTTCAGTAGTACAAACGTATTGCCACCACCAATGAAGATAGCATCTGCTTGTAGCACAGCCTGTATGGGATTCGGCTTAGTGTGCAAACCTTCAACTTGATAACCCCAGGGTGAGAGTGTCTTGTCAACAAGTTCCGTATATTTATTGTGATCCTTTTGGGCGTATGGTATGAAGAGCACCGTTTTTACATTGCGTCTACAAATGTGAAGCTTTGGGTTAATACTTTACTTTTGATATAACAATTATGACTTACTTTGATAGAAAATCAATTAATTGTTCCTTTGCGTGCTCCAAAAACTCATGGCCATGAACACGGGAGGAGGAAAGTAGGAAAATCGAACGTTGTGACATTTTTGCTGGTTGACTTTAGAGCTAGGCGTTAATATGAGCCGGTAGTGCGTTCAACAATGAACTTTAGCAAATTGTGCGATAGCCACTTCACAAAATACATACAATTTTATTGCACATATAAATTAAATGAAATTATAAAAAAATACTGTTGGAGATAAAGGTTGTTATCGATATAAATAAACGTAAGGTTTTTAAGTTGTTTAACACCTATGGTGGAAAGACAGCTGTTCCTTTCGCTGTATTGCATGGCTGTATTGATAAGAACGAAAAACCGGGTTGCTGGCGAATCCGGTAAACAACATGAATTCAGTGTTGCTTTTCATCGAATGAATTTTATGGGAACCATACGCGATTGCCATAATTATTTTACAACGCTTTTCTCAACTTGCAATGTTATATGTCCAGACCTCCATTTATATACTATAAATGTAGCAAAACTATTTATGGTAAATTCTAGATATCAACCAAGTCTAGATAGCAACCTCGTTGTAGGCACCATATCAAAGATATACAATTAGAAGACTCTATATGTGGCCCCGCCAGAGGAAGTTATGTAAATATTGCGCCTTAATATATGCACTATTTGCTGCGGATGTGATTGAAATTCAAACAAGCCCAGTGTTTGCTAAGGCAACTCTTTTAGAATATATATATGTATATATATTTTTAACAGAAGTTAGAGTGTCAAAATGTTCTACAAAAATACCAAGTAGCAAATTTTACTAGGTCACTGAAATCGAAAATCCGCGAATTTAGGAGGAATACAAAACAGCACATATCGCTGGGTTCAGTGATAGTGCTGAATAATTATTGGAAATGAAACGAGAGTGTAGAATAAAATCTCTTTCCCATTACGTTCCCACGACAGTCGGGTCTACGTAACCGGAACGACCCAGATTTATATCTGGCCAAGGACTGTCACTCCAGCAACACTCCCCAAAAAGTCTTTGGGGAATTTGTATGCTGCTACAACAACAACATAAAATCTCTTATATTTCTTGTTTCATTTGATATTAATTTTTCACTTTTTTCTTTGGAGCTGGAAACAGCCCTTATTTTTGATTTTTTTTTAACACTTTCGTAATATATGTAAATTATACGTGTACGCCGCATAAAGTTCCGTTACTTTTTACCGTTATTCCCTGTCGCCTTGTGCGCTCCGCAGTGCTTTCTTTATTATTTTGTTGTATAAACAAGTAGATAATTAATCGATTAAGTTTTTATTAAACATTTATTTAAAATAACATACCTAAGCGGCGTAGTACGTAACGGTGTAGTACGTAGGGTAAAACCGTCTTACGATTCTAGGGTTAGGTACTATTTCAACGTACGCCTTTCAGAAATAAATTCAGTCAGTATCCTTATCACATTTACTTAACGTATTGTATATCTCCTCACATATCATAATTCGACATTAAAATAAATTAAATTGACAATAGATTTTATGTACATAAAATTTTAACCTTAAACACATAAAGAATCCTGCAAACCAAAGTTCCTGAAATCTTAACGAAATCTTTAGGAGTATCTCATTTCTGTTACGATTTTTATACGAATCTTCATTGCTTTACCGCTTTTCTTCCGAAATTTCGTAAGAGAATCGAAGTGTGCACAGTTTAATTAATTTTAGAAAATTCGGCAAAAAATCGGATGAGATCTTTACGAATTCTTAAAAATTTCTCTACAATTCAGAATACTCTGAAAAAATGGTTTGCAGGGAAGTTATGCGGATATCACACAAACACAAGCAAGCTGGTTTATTTTATTTTTCTTTTTTTAACAAATACTGCAGTATTCGTTATAAGAGCCGTATTCCGTTCATTTGCTCCATAGCAATTTCCAACAGCCTAATGCATTTCCTTTCCTTTAATGTCTTTATCAAATATATGCACACCCAACTCTTTTTCACAGCGTTCGATTTGCCTTATATAATCGGCCAACTGTTTTTGTGCATCCACTTGTTCGGCGAGGAAATGTGTCTCCAGAAAATCGCATAGTTGAGGATCAATGTGCTTACTTGCCAAAGCATGTAGTGCCAACAGGGACTTGAAGAGAAACATTTAACCCTCCAAATAACCACACTTGATCATCTCTATAAATTTCATTGCTTACCTCATTGACCGTTTTCTCCATATCCAATGCTTCTTCCAGCGCTGCTTTAAGTGTCGTAAACTTAAATTTTGGAGCTGGTAGATCCTGTAGCAGTATTGTGCCACCTCTTTTGTTCATGTATTCCATGAATTTTGCAGCATGTTCACGTTCTTCATCGCTAGCAGCCTTGAAAAATCCATATATGCCGGGTAAAGCCATATCGGAGCGGTCAAAATGGTATGCCTGTAACAAATTAAAGTTTATTTGTCTATCAAATGCGCTTAATCTCGATAAAGTGATAAAAAATATTCGTCAAACCATGGCTAAGTAATCGTAGCTTGATTTCAATTCCAGTTGTATTTGTGCATTGATTGCATTTTCACACTCGCGATTGAAGTTTTGACGCACTATCAAACACAAAAGACGCCGGAACTGCAGACGTCCAGCAAAATTCATAGCTACAATTGGATTTGATGTGACTATTGAAGTTTGTTTCGGAATGAATTCGAAGTAAATAGAAAATAAGGTTGATTTTTTTGCGTTGTATAAATATTCCAGTAATTTAGAATCGTACTTACAATTAAGAATGTTTTTAGGTGTTTGGGTGGTAGTACACTTTAAAAAGTTGCATAAAGTGACAGGCACATTGACAGGACAAATGAACAATAGGCGCTGAAAATAATGCAATGCGCCGAAGCAATTTTGCCTTCTATATGCATATGTTACAGAGTTTGAGTTTTTAGTTCCCGTACGAGGATGTTTAACTGAAATTTCAAAGGTAATGCCTGTAAGTCTTGTGTCGAGTAGCACATTATGTATTTTATTTCATATTTGTTTGCTTTTAGTTTATTTTACCGTTTAACAACTTCGCATATATGCGTGTACTTAATTTTTTATTTCGATTCCTTTTTTAGATTTTTTTTTAACATATTTAAAGGTTTTCTATTTCTGCATGATAACAATTCTGTATTAAAATTTAAATAGGCACTTTAACTTCTGACAACATATTAAAGTTATGGCTGCGTTATTTTCCTTTTTTATTTGTGAATATTTAGTAATTTATTTTAGATTCTAGCAACCATTTCATTACATTTACTATAATTTTATGATTTTTAATATAAAACATAAACATTTTTCAATAAGGCAACAGTTTTTGAATATAAAGCAGTATTTGACTCTTACATATTAACATCTGGTACACTTAGTGTGAAGACATTGTTATAATACATAGCTCTACTTCAAATTGTAATCCATTTATTTTATTTTCATATTTTTATTTTATTTTTTTTTGTTATCAATTCACTGCGATAAATTTCTGTGAAGGCCTCAAGGAAATTTAATCGCTTTTGTTTAATCGTTTACTTAACCACTATTTTAGTTTACAATTTAGATGCATTGAAGCTTTAGTGAAAATATACTGCTCGCGCATGAACAGATTATTCCGGCAAATCCAATATTCTCGACACAAATTCCGAAATATCTGTATCACGCTCTATGTGCTCAACAATAAAGTCGTGTTTAAGCAGTTGTTCATAATTGGGACGCGCTGTATAGTTTTTCTGCAAACACTTAATTATGAAGTCTTCGAACTCGGGTGAAAATTTGCCAGGTTCAAGACGTGGTGGACTCTCATTCACGACCTAAAAACATTTGTTGATGATTAAAGAGCAACATTGCACAATCAGTTTACAAAAATACCTGTTTTAACTGCTCAAAAGGCGTTTTCCAGGAGTTATAAGGGAACCGGCCAGTTGCCATTTCAATCATACTGATACCCAGCGACCAGACATCAGAACGTATGTCATATTGAGCAGGATTGCCTGTTGGATCAATTCGCTCGGGTGCCATGTATGGTTTGCAGCCAGCATCGATCGTTTTAGCAACAGAATCAACCAAGTAACCTGTCAAAAGAATTATTTAAAGTAAGTTTTTTTATGCAAAGCAATTCGGAATGCTAATTACTTTTACTTAGTTTCTTTATACGCAATGGTTGCGTAATAATACGTGTCAGTCATAAGCAACCGTTTGTTTACATTACTTACCAGAGATACCAAAATCGCACATCTTCACTTCACCACTGCGATTGATCAAAATATTTGACGGCTTCACATCGCGATGAATAACTTTAAGTTGTGCGTGCAGGTAGTGTAGTGCATTCACGACTGACATGGCAATCTGTAATAAAAATTCAATACAATAAATTCCTTAAAATATCAATACTCATTTTAGCTATGTACGTACTTTTCCCAAAACGCTTTCCTCCATAGTTAAATTGTTTTTGAACACCTTCGGATAGAATTTGTCTAAGCTCGTATCCATTACTTCCATACATATCCAAACGTCACCTTCTCGAAAGAGTGCTCCATAAAAATGCACTGTGTAGGGACAATCGCTCGAACGCATGGAAATATCTAAATCCATTAGTAAGCGTTTTTGTTCTTTTCGATTTACAGTTGCTGTGATACGTTTTACAGCCATAACCGTGCCAGTCTGTTCGTGTCGCATTTTTTCTACAACGCCATATGCACCACGACCCAAATCTGCGATTTTCTCTAAGCTGTCAGCATTAATTTCGAAGGTTCGATCACCAATTTTAATTGTGGTACTCGAGTCTAAATTCCGTGGTGGCACACTGCAAATAAATAATATTGTTATTATGTGAAGAGATTGAAGGGGTATTAACCAAAATTGGACACCTACATTTCCGGCTCGGGTTCCTTATGAAGCGTGAACTTCAAATTCGGTCTGGATTTGCCGGCCATTCTGGGATGTGTCTTTGTGTGTATGTATTGCAGCGGTGATAAGAAGTCAAGGACCTACAATTAACTACCTCTCGTTTGCGACCTAATACCAACAAGGGGTGCCGGCGTTAAACCTTGACCGACAATTTTATTTCGAATCTTCTATTCTGGCGCTTCTTCAGATCAGTTGCCTAAACCGCTTTTCGAGATTTTCCCAAATTTGGAATTTTCGCGGCTCCGTTCACGTTTACCTTTTTTTCTATTCTTTGCCTGGCTTTCTACTCGTTTCGTGTGGGCTCGCGAAAACTTACTCCAATTGTCACTTTTCTCCTAATTTGGTTATATTTTCTAAAACATTCCGCTCTGGATATAATTAACTTTCACACAAGCCTTTCATTTAAAACATGCCGAATATATAAAATGATTAATTTTTCGTAGCTTAATCCTCTAATTTTTTCAGCGATTCTCGATCCCTATCAAATAAAAAGCTTGTAAAAATCTTGCAAATTTTTTTTTTTTTTTTTTTAACTAGAAATGTCCGTAGACAGATGAATATGG